CACCATGTGGTTGCTGGGACTTGAACTCAGGACCTCTGGAAGAGCAGTCAGTGCTCTTAACCGCTGAGCCATCTCTCCAGCCCCCGATGTTTAATGTTCTTATTTTGACTTGTTTATATTTTATAATCATATTATGTGCACAAACAACATTTCAATAGTGATTACTAAAAATAAAATATCAGGTAGCTGGGGGGATGGCTCAGTCAGAAAGGTTCGTAAGACATAAAGTTGAGGACGAGAGTTCAGATTCCCAGTAACCCATGAAAACCAGATGTGCTACACATGTCTGCAACCAGTGGTTGGGTTGAGGCACAGAGACAGGTGGAACACTGCATCTCACTGATTAGCCAGCCAACAGAATTGGCCAGCTCAGGCTCAGTAAAAGACCTTGTCTCAAGCAGTGAAATGGAAAGCAATCAAGAGGAAGCTTCACATTAACTTCTGGCCTCCATACACACATTCACACTCATAGGCACATGCTCGCATCTAACTAGCAAAGAACATACACGCAAAACACACACACACACACACACACACACACACACACACACACATACACACACAAATAAATGAAAAGTTATAATAAAAATGAATGGTGGGATGGAATGTTTCTATTTTTTTGAATATAAAACTTGATGTTAAGACTATAGATGGTCAATGAACAAACAAACCACAAAAAAACCCCTAAAGTAGCAATTACTGTTATTATCATTCTGCACGCCACTTATGAAAAGCAAACATCAGAGATCTTCTTTTCTGGTTATGTTGACTACTTTGTTCATGTGCCAGAAAATGCTGATGTTGTTACAAGAGGCGAGCAGACACTATGCAATTATTGTGTGAGGTTGTTATATGTGGAATCATTTCAAAAAGTTCTACTGTGATTTCGACTTGAGATCCTAGTGAACATTATGAGATCAGTATATCTTCCATATTTTTCAGGGTAGCACATATGCTGGTTTGGCTGTGTTTTTTGAGGTGTTAACATGCCCATAGTAATACAGGGGAAGAGAACAAGTATGGAGCTCTTTATAAACCAGCCATGCAAAAGGACAGAATAAATACAAATATGGGCTAAAAGTATGTGTCCATGGATTAACTCTGGTTCATACCCTGAAGGGATGTGAGCAGGGCTTGGGTAATTCTAGTGATAGAAAGACTTTAAATCTGGCCTTGGCCCGATGTTAAAATGTTTACACAGTTACGTGGATAAAGATATAATCATGCTTATCAAATTTGATGATGTCATATATATGTTACAAGAAAAGAGTTTAATAAGATCTCTTCCCATTTGAAAAATGTCTAACTTGACATATGAAAACAGCATATTATTAGAACAATAATATCTAAATTCACAGTTACTATGTCATGCTGCTTTCAAGTTCTTTTCCACCATTCATTTGCTATTTTCAGCATCACCCTCTGAGACATTTATGTTAGCTCTTTGAGATAATGTAATAGTGTAAGGTACAGTTATAGCTTATGAAAACTCATGTAAATCAGTCTGGAGCAAAACAAGGGCTTCAGCTATGGTTTGGGTGAACTTGAAAACAATGATCAATGCTCTCCACTCCTCAATGATACCATTGATCCAAAAAAAGGTGATGATCTCGTTAATTCAAGAATATCCCCAAAATGCTTACCTCATGGATTCAACTTCAAATTCAGTTCCCATTTTCAAAGAACTATTATTATTTCTCAAGGAAGACACAAATTCAAATAAACAGAAGTATCTTTGATTCAATTTCAGTGCAGAGAGGACATTTTTAAAGGGTTCAAATTAATATTCTTTATCACATAGAGAAAACTACTTGGGCTTAAACCTATGAATAGGGGTCTGGATTCTTCAAACATCCCCTCTGTGTACTGTAATACCTACAACTTCCCCCTTGATCTTTTTAGCATTAGCTACTCTTGCATTTTTAGCGAACAATTATCAATCAATCTTATCAAACATGTAGCATTCTCTGTGCACTGTGTGGTATTCTAGTTGTGTAGATTAAGGCTTTTAGAAAAAAATACCTATGTTAATAAGTAAAATTACTCTTTCAAATGCTTTATTAATATAGCTTAGTTTTAATTCTAAAAGCCTGTTACTTGCCCAATACTATTAACTTAGAAATAACTGATTATTCTAAAATCAATCAAAAGAAGGAGGAAAACGTCTCAAACAGAAGTTGTGAATGAGACATAGGCCATAAAACCAAACATCAGAAATTTTAAAACAAATTATAACACTTGAAGTTTTAAAATATTTAATGCATACCTGCATAATTAGGAATTATTTTGTATTTTTATTTAAAACATTTGTTGCTCTCAAAATGAGTAAAATGAGACTTTTGTAAACTTTCTATTTACAATTCAATATTCAAGGACATGAAGTATGACAAGTTTCTTCTGGCTCTTGGAAGATATTTTCAATTTGAGCTTTAAATCCTGGCAAAGGAATAGAAGAATTTATGTGTACCTTGAGCTATGAACAGATGTGTTAACTAGATTCCTGAATCTTTTAAAAGATTTTGTATTCTAAGCAAATAGGCAAACTTCTGCATGCAAGGATGTTAGCACTTTCTCAGACTGTGGTTCTGTGAGCTGTTAAAGAAAATAGTAACTATTCAAAAATGTCACTTCTACATTTGGTAAAAAAGACATAAAACTGGAGCAGGATATTCTTCTATACTGCAACATTCACCCACTTTACTAAATTATATATATACATGCCTGGAATTTTACATTCAAAACAAGGTCAAAAGTGTCCTAAGATAGTCCTAATTCATTCTTCTCGGGCAGACTTCATGCTTGGTTTATTTTTTTACTGCCAATTTTCTTGAAATCTATTGAGACAATAATTAAAATGGCCTTTTGCAGGCATTTGCTCTCTGGCTCTTAGCTACCTACTCTCCTCAGAACTTGGCTATAGTGAAATGAAACTCGCTCGAGTTTGACTCTGGAGGAAAGGAACTGTCTCCCTCCTTTAAACCAATTCACGAGGTTTAAACATGAAACACACACACATACACACACACACACACACACCTTTAAGAAGGTTAAAGGAAAGAGGAGTCTTGTGAGGAGCAGTATTCGCTACTGTCGCCAGAGTGGTAACAGCACAGGTCAGCTTTTTAACACAGGACAGCACAGGTTAGCAAGTTTTCAGAGATTTCATCAACTGTGAAGCCAGTTATAGAATTTCATGCTGCCAACTGCAGCCCTGGAAGCTGAGCAAAGTGACACAGCCAGATTTTTGTATAGAAACAGTCAAGTGTCTTAAGGAGAGGCCAGTGGAGCCCCAAGGAATGTGACTGCATTGTGTCAGCTCTCAAATAAATGTTAAACCTTATCCAACTGTGCTGTTATTACTGCCACCCCTCAAAGACCTTCTGAAGCATTCAAAGCAACAGATGACAGCAGACATATGCTGCCCCAATTCACAAGGGCAATTTGCTAAAATAACCAGCTTTGCCCCCATACAAGTGTTCCATTCTTCTAAAACTGAACGCAGCACCCACTGCTTCCAGAGGCCTGTTGAAACAGGATGCTCCTGTTTCACACCACTGGGCAGGCACTCCTGAGGGACTTCTGATCCTACTATTTCGTTTCTGAAAGAAAAATACAAATGTATAGCCCAGGGTTCAGGATGGTTCTCAGAGTCTTTCCTCTCTCTCTCTCTCTCTCTCTCTCTCTCTCTCTCTCTCTCTCTCTCTCTCTTTCTCTCTCTCTCTCTCTCTCTCTGTGTGTGTGTGTGTGTCTGTTTAAGCTGGCTTTGAACTCAGGATCCTCCTGCCTCAGCCTTTTGAGTGTTCGGATTTAAGAATGTGCCTTTATTTTCTGCTTAGCCACAGTTTTCCCAATCAAATTGCTCTGGTCTCTATGAAAATAGTGTATACTTTCAGAAGAAAATGCATATGAAAATGAATTGTTTGGAAAAATAAAAGTGCCAAATTTTGCATCTTTCTCTCTTAGAGAGCATATGGTAGTTAGAAAGATCCATGGGTAGAGAAAGGTTGAAAGGTACATTGACAACCAAAAGGCTAGCTTGTCTTGAGTGCAGTGTGGAGGGTGGCTCTTTCCTTTATTTGAAGCTTGATTCAAATATTTTATAAACCCCGCCCCCATATTAAGAATCACAACAAGAGGTCACTTGCTGCCAGCCATAGGTCACAGGCTCATGTCTTCTTTTGCTGAAAGGAATTTCTAGCTTTCTGTGAAAACCTAGGAGATGTTGACAAATTGAATCCATGTTGCTATAGAGCTCAAATGCCTTGAATTAGGAGGAAGACCAGCTTCCATCTGAGCAGTGTGGTGCTGGCTGATTGCGTGTCACAAATCTCCACATTCACACACATCACCCTCATGGGCACATCTGCATATGGGAATCCCGGAGAATACAATCAACATTGAACCCGATCACGACAGAGACGTGACTATATCATAGCACCTTTCTTCCCTCCACCCCTCTCCTTTATAGACATCCCTTCAAGTGCTCCAATTAGAGCATGCCCACATCCTGTCTCAGACGTCTCTGAATGCAGAGTGTAATACAAGTTTGGTCACTGACTCCCCTCAGGAACCGCAATGAACACTTGCTAAAATTCATAACAAAAACAAAGCTTTGATGAATCAGTTTTTCCTTTTGTCAGTTCTCATATAAACTAGATGCTTGAGAAATGAAGAGTAGGGTTAGAAACCAAGTCAAATTGAACAATGAGAAGCTGAGAATATGATCATTGGAACTTTGGTCCTTCCCTGTTTCCCTCAGGCCTAAGGTAATGGGGATGTTGATCAGGGAAGACGCATGGTCTTCATAAGACAACTCAAGGCAGGATGGTACTGTTATTTCCAGTGGTCACAAGAACCATTCTGTCACGAAATATTGCAATTCAGCATGAATTAAGCATGGGGGAGAATATAACAGGTGCATGCACATTCAAAGGCATTTCAACAGCGTTCTCTTGCAACATTGACATACCATCATGGCCTTTTAGAAGGACAATTCTTACCTTGTTAATGGCCCCAGATCGCCCGAGTCTTGGCTTCCAGCTTCACTGGGAGTGCTCACTGATTTCGAAGAGGGAGACATAGGGGTTGGGACTAAATAATGAAAATAACAGGTATCCCATGTTAAAAAATGCAGCGGCTGCACTGAGGAAGAGCAGTGTCAGACAAATCAAAACAAACGGGCCCAAATTAAAGTGGTTGTATGGCCAGGAGAGATAGAGATGGGATAAAGAAAAAAAAAGGAAAGAAAAAGGAAGAAAGTCAAGTGAATTTTTCATATTTTGGAAAATGAAAGTCTGAAATGAATTTAGACAGAGTTAACTTAGGGAGTCCAGGGCCATGGCCAGCTAACGAAGTAAAATGGAGAACTACAATAGCTATCCAGATAGTTCAACCCACATTGCTTCAGTAGGAACTATCCAGCTCATTCTAATTCTTCACTTTATTTTGTTAGTATAGATGTGACCTATTTAAAAAAATGAGGTGTCTATAAAACTTTAAACGTTATGAAATGGATGAGCCTAAATAATTTTAAATCCCAAGAGTGGTGAGAGATCTGTTCAGTGTCTAAGTTGGAGAGAAACGTGTGGGTTCATGGTGGATAAAAAACTTGGTGCTAAGATTGTATGACAGAGGGGAAGGGTAAATGTAGAGCCTGGTAATTTAAAAATCTCTTTCAAAACAAAAGAAAATGCCAGCCTGCTTTATTTTTACATTTAATGAATGGTTTCATCCCACCCTACTTTCTCCTTCACTTGGGACTTGTTTTCCTTTGTCCCTGGCAGCCCTCGTAGATGCTGACACATGAACAGAAGTGACCTGCCACCGTGGGGGAGGGAGAAAGAAAGATGCTCAGAGATTCGGATCAGCTGACAATCTGAGCAAGGATAACAAAGGGAAAACAAAGCAAAACAAAGGAAAGAGAAATGGGTTTTCTTTCTCCAACCTCCACATCCAAGCCAAATGTTCATCAGCCACTTACTGCACCAAATAGGCAAGATGGCTCCAGGCCAGCCAACTCAGGGGATTCATCACACATGCCAAGGAAGCCATGTGCAGAAAGAAGCTTCAATACATGAACAAGGAATCCCATTTGCTTTCAATCACATGCAATTTCCTTTTATTTAGGGTAAAAGGTTTAGCAGGATTTTATTGTCTCCCCCCTCAAATTCTGCACGACAATGGCAGAATTGCCAAGGAACTGGGCATTTCCTTGTGGCTCTTCAATTAATTCCCTGATGACCCTGCATGCTAAGTTAGGGGAAAAGCTGAAGAGAGAGATGAAAAATGGCCCCAGTGGAAAGGATTCATGGGTAGCTGAGAAGGTAGTTGCAGATGGGGATGTTCAGATATTTTGTTTTTAAAATTTAATCACAAGCTTTATGCAGGGCAAGGGATGATCAGATATACCTCTACTGGGTTTAACCAGTGTTGACATAGCAACTACAACATTTCAGACTATTTTGAAGCCGAAATATCATTGATCGATAGATGTCTAATTTACATCACATGTCAGCTAAGTACAAAGAGGTTTGCCAACTTCTCAGAGAAGATCCAACAGCCGAATCCCCTGCAGATTACACCTTGCATACATAATAAGAAGTTAAACAAAATCTAACTTTATGAGAGCTGATTATAGCAATGGCTACATGATTTTTTACATGCAATTGAGAGAGACTCATGATTTTTAGTAATATTTTAGTTTTATGCACTAAATCATATTTATCAATACTTAATTTTCAGTTGGATATATTCTCTTTCTTATTTATATTGAGAGCCATAATTACTTCACATAGGTAATTTTTTTCTTAATTTAAATATCTATGAGAATAAAAGGAATTCTGTTTTAATATAGAATCCAAGAATGGAATGAAGCATTCTTCCAAAAATGAAGCATTTTTAATGGCCCTGATATAGTATTTATTCCTATGCATCATTTAAATGGTTTTATTTTTAATGTGTTGGATATTATGTAGTCTTACAGACACCTTCAGATTATTTTCAGATGTATGGAAGATAAATAAATCAAGGAAAAATAAAACAACCCATGAAAGATACACAAGATAGTGGCAGAATAAGCTCATGCAAACTACCTTTAACAAATAAAATAAAAAATTAATCTATGCCCAGACCTCCATGACAAAAGACTTCATGGACAATCAACTAGAAATGGCTGAGTTGAAGGAGGGGGCACTGCAGTAGAATGTCAGTTAACAATGACATCAAGATACACATGAGCCAAGTACATTTAAACGAATTTCCCACTGAACATTCTATTTTGACCACGGAAAAATTCTATGTCTATAGTGTTCATGGTATTTATAACAAGATTAACATTATCTGTAGAGGCAAATAGAGGTTGGGATTCACCAATAGAAACAAAGAACAATTTACTGCTTAAAAATCCCAAGATTTCTTCTACATATATAAATGATTTAAATGAATCTGCCAGTGACACAAGGGAAAATTATGAACATATAATCAGCCAGTATAACATTAGCATCTGCTAATGACTCTGTAAGCATCATTCCCACCTCCTTCCAGCCCCCTCAGTTCTAACAAATACATGCAACTAGGACAGTAAGCCCTAGGTTTTTTTAAGCATAGAAAGCAACAATAAAACAAACAGTTAAAAGCACAGTGTCACTGGATGTGGTATATCTACACAAGAGGTGTAGTAACTCAAGCTTGCAGAAATACCTAGAGGGGGCTCCGGTGATATCCCAATACTCTGAAGCAAAGCTTCTGTCTCTCGTCGTTTGCGATCCAGATCAGAGTCATCTTGAACAGGCTCTTTCTTCTGCTGCATATCAGCCTAAAGGATTTGATATCAGCAAGGAAAGTTAGTGACTTAACTAAAGGGCAAGCGTTTCATCGATGAAGTAGAAAACGTCTGGAGCAAAGGCCAGGCAGACCGCTACATAGATATAGTTATATGTGGAGGATGAAAACCACCTTAACAGCTCAGTTAATAACTGACAAGGACTCTCTTTTTTGGTTGAGGACTTTCTCCAACTGTTATCACATGAGGTGAAAGTTTTCCAGGCTCATAAGATGCGCGGAAGGGCACCTGCATCCAAGCCTGACTCCCCAAGTTTGAGTTCTAGAACCTGTATGGTAGAAAATGTACCCACTTGTGTGCCCCACGAAAAACGCATACACAAAACAAGTAAAATACAATAATTAGAAATAAAATGAGAAACTTCCTCTTGGGGTTTTGAAAGGAACCATCAAGGCAAACTATTTCTGAAAGTATTATTATTGTAAAGTATTGTATATATTGTAAAGTATTACTAAATATTATTGTAAAAGTAAATCTTGTCTGTTTTGGCCTCTATGTTCCTGCTGGGACACTGGTTCCTGGTCAGCACCTCTTAGTAATGCTCACATTACAGAAATATAAATTTCTGTAATCTAGCCGAAAAGTAAAAAGTAAGGCTATTTATAGAAATTAGTAACTATAAATTTTACCATTTGTATTGGTGATAGAAGCTCATCATGGCGGAAGCCTGCTAATACATTATTGCTGTGGTTCTTTTTATTTAAAAAAAAACAAAACAAAAACAAACCAAAAAAAACTAGATTCAGATTTCCACAGGAGCCATTAACACATTAACTCACAATACTTTCTAGGAAAACGTAGTGCAAATAAAACAAAACAAAACTCTTCTTAGGAGTTTCTTTTATGAATTATCTAGAACACAACTTGAAGACTCAAGTCAGATTTTATGCCTCATTTGTGCTTTTTATGGGATTGTGACAAACTAAAATGGTAGCTATAAAAGGTCAAGAAACTTTAGGGCTTATCTCTCATCCCTCCTGATAGTGCTTCCTCTATCTGCCCTCTGATTCCTCACTCCATGTAACTATTTATGTTTCATTATTACCCCATTATATCCTGTCTCCCAACCTTTGAATCTGCCCCCTCCCCATAACCCCTAACTCATTTCTTGACTTCTATGGGTATCTCAAATGGAACACTCATACGCAAAGACCCCAAGCATACAACCACTGATAATGTCTGAATTTCCTCATACAGGATGATTGCCCCCAACTACATCTATATACTTGATAATGTCATTGCCCAGTTCCACACCAGGAGAACACTAGTATCTACTTCACAAGCAATCTTTATGTAAACCTCTCTTGAAGCCTATCAAGCCAACTATCCTATTAATTTTCAGGCATCTTTTAATCTTCATTGGTATTGAACATCGTAGTGGGTATATTGCCTCAATGAGCAAAATTAATTTCTATGTGCCTGAGACAGAATAATGCAGGGAGTTTTGGCTTGCCTCAGACAGTATCCTCCAACTTTATTATAAGACCAGTGTGTATCTGTACATAGCTCAGGGTTCAACACTATTCATCTTGGCCTTAAAGTGCACTTCAATTGGTGCAGTCTATCTGTCATTAGGGAGAGAACTGTCATTTGAGATCTAAATAGAGCTGAACAGAGTCTTAGAAGATTTCAGCCTTTTCACGACACTCTCCATTCTTAAAAGGCAATTCTGTCTCAGTCTGTGATGATGCTAAAACACACGCTCTTTTCCAATTGTGATATTTAAACAACTGAAGCATATTCCAATGCCAGTGTGCACAGCAAGCAAAGATGGGGCTGAGAAAAAAAAACGACCGTGAGGATGAGGCTCTCCAGCCATGTTCACTTTTTATACAGTTAAAAAGGAGGATGTGTTGGGGAGGGAGAGACGAAAGAAAATACATGTGCGAGAGCTGCTATTGAAATGCAGGTTAAGAAGACCTTAAAGAATGTAAAATACACCCTAGTATTGCTACACGTAATAGTGTGGTATTTCAGAGACGGGTTTAGCCTAACTGAACTCTCGGTTTTACTTAGAGCATCACAGTTGTTCTGTTCACCACCAGGTGTTCAGACCTGGATCAGTTCCTGGGATATAATACATAATAAAAATGTGTTTGATGAATGAATTAATATCTGACTTGAGCAGGCATTGTTTTATGGTAAAAGTCTTTCTTAGGTTAATTTCTTTCAACTACATTCCATTTAGGGACCTCTTCCTTCACAATACTCCTGTGAAAAGGAGATATTTAGAAACCTAGAAACTCAGAGCTCACAAAAGCCATTTCTTTCAACAAAAATGTATTGAAGGAAGACAGTATCCATGGAAATTCTGGGTACTAGGGAAGACTTCACAGAGGAAATGAAAATGATCTGTCTAATCTCCCCCTTTAAAGGCACTTGGGCACAGCAGACCAAACTTTCTCCCATAGGCATCCTGTGTGAAAAGGTAAAGCTCTGGCTTGGGGTTTGAGATTTATCTTGATTTTAAAAATGATGTGCCTTCAAGAAACATAATAGAGGCCAAATTATCTGTCAACATGGACAACAGACATTGTACAAAAACAGTCTCCCCACCCCAAACTTTCACTTCCTCTGTACTAAGTGTGTATTGCACTCATTGTCTGCTTTGTCTTACTTTACAAGATTAACTTTTTACATTTATTTATTTAGGTGTGTGGGACTGCAGAGATGGGGTTGGGCACGTGTCATGGCATGGATGCAGAGGTCAACGGAAAGCTTGCAGGAGTTGTTTCTCTCCTTCCAGCAAGAGAAATCTGGGGCTCAAATTCAGGTGAACATGCTTGGTGGCAAGTGCCCACACTTGCTGAGCCATCTCAGTCCCACACTTCTATTATTTATCTACTAATATGTATACCTCTCTGTCTCTGTCTGTCTCTGTCTCTCTGTCTCTATCTCTCTGACTCTGTGTGTGTGTGTGCGTGGATGTGTGTTGATGTGTGTGTGTGTCTATGTGTGCGTGTTGTGTGTATGCGTGTGTTGTATGTGTGTTGTGTGTGTTGTATTGTGTATGTGCGTGTGATTGGGGGTGTGCCTGCATATCACACAGTTTGAGTATAGGGGTCAGAATGGAACTTTTGGATGACAATCCTCTCCTTTTACCTTGTTGAGTCAGAGTCTCTCTTATAGTTTCTAGATGCTGTGTGCTCTAGGATACCACAGCAGGGTTTCTAAGTGGCTTCCAGAGATTGTCCTCAGGTTATCTGGTTTGAGGATCAAGTGCTTTTTGGCCTTGTCATCCCTCCAGCTCTATATTTCTTTTAATTCTTAAGAAACAAATCAACAAACTGGAATATACTGAGAATAAGTGTTTATCTAGTTTCTTAGGCTTACAAAAGCTTAGGAAAGCTATCAATACCCAAAGCTGACCAGAAGAGTTGTGCAATTAAATAACCAGAGTTTATCAGAAACAAGCAAGTTATCACTCAGCACATTAAACAAAACAAAGTATAATTTCTTCAAAGAGACTGAGGCTAGTGGCCTAGTGATAAACTTTATGATTCTCTCTAGTATGAACTATACAGAACACTGCCATGTTTTAATAACTCACCGTGGGCTGATTTAGCATCACTAGTAATTAAAGACCCAAAAGTTGCCTTTCCCAGCAAACTATATTTTTGTTTGTGAGGCGTAATCACAGCTGAGGTCTAGAGAGGATAATCAAAGAAAGAAAATTTGCCAGCTGTGAGGAGTTGTCAATTCCTTTTCAAAGACAGTTCCTCATTCATTAGGGAACAGGTGAAGACTGGGTGAAAGCCTCAATCTGTCCCTGTTTCCAGCAATTCAGCCTAAGACCAAAGTCAGAGTAAAACTTCAGAGTGGCCCCCATTAAGTTCACCTCACTGCACTGAAGCCAAGTTTTCATGAAATTGGGCCTGTCTCGCCTCTTAAATGCTGGCCACTATATTTATTTTTAAATCAGATTTCAGCCGGAATACCATAGCCAGGAAAGCAACTGGCATCTAAGAAAGCAGAAAGTGAGTTTTTTTCTGTGCAATTTTCTCCACTGTTGGGGATAATCTACCCTGGTGGCCCTGATCCCCTCTTCTCTTCATCGTCACAGACAGGAAGGCACCCAGGTTTGCACCAAAGGGTACTTTGTTCCTTTTTAATTCAGAATCCGTTTGTTTCATTTAAAATATGGGTCTAAATAAAGTTTAAACAACATCAAACTTAAATTCTTAAGCCAACTTCCAACTACTTTTAAACAACACAAAAATCAGAACATCTTAGCTCAGGGATCAGGAATGGTGGCAGTCGATGCAAGCGCTCCATAAATTTGAGGTCAGAGATTACACGGGAATCTGCAGGATGGACTGCTTCAGGATTTTATAACATGGAGATCAGAGTCTTCAGTATCTCCCTCAAACAGCTATCATGTCTATTTTTTTGTTGGGCATATACTATACGGAAAAACGTGTTAGACACAAAATTAAAAAAACAAAACAGCATATATCCCTATCCCTTCCTGTATTTAGAGGGGTCAGAGGTAGATTTCCATAGTGAAGGACATCAGAGATGACAACAGAAAGATGTGTGGGTGTACAGAATTAATGAGCAGGTGAAGGATATGAGAGGAACAGAGCAAACTTGCCATCAAGAGAGTGTGGTCCATAAAGGAATTGTACATACAGATCGAGCCTCTCCAAGTTGAAATGCAAAATATTCTGATATCTCGCAGAATGCCACAAAATGAAATTTGGTTTTAAAAAAAGATTATTTTAAACATTGCATAAAACATCTCTAGCCTACCTGTACAAAGTGTTTATAAAGCACATGAATTTCATGTGTAAACTTAAGTCTCCGAACACATTTCCAAAGTTACACGTGCAGACATTTTCAGATCTGAAAAATAAAATCCAAAGCAAGAAATACTCCTCAAGAATATCACCGACAGGATACTTAAACGGGAGGTTATTCCGGCTGGGATGTGGCTTTTAGAGAGAATAGAAGTGAGGCAGAAAAGAGTTGTGTTATACTTCTCCAAACCATGATGATCCTTTTTACCTGTGGGAACAGAATGATCCCCAAGACCTGAGTTAGGATGAGGCAGCTGGCGACAGGCTACTCCGTAAAGCCAGAGACAAAAGAGAGCAAGTCTTTTGTACATGGAGCTTATTTCTTCATTTGAAAAAAAAGATCAAAATTAATTAGTTACTTTTTTTTTCATATATAAAGTACTGTAACTTCTGGGCTGGAGGGATAGCTCAGCAGCTAAGAGTACTGAGCCAAGTTTGGCTCCCAGGACTCACATCCAGTGGTGCACGCGTGCGAACACACACACACACACACACACACACACACACACTCACACTTTAAAAATAAACAAATCATTAAGATATCATAGGCTCATGAGGAAACTCAGATTCTAAGGTAGCATCCTGATCAAAGGATCTGTGTGAATCCATCTAATGGCCCCTCAGTTCCTCACCACTGACCTCAGAAGCACTGTAAGAACTGTTTCTCACTGTGGTGCATAATCTTGATTGGTGTCATGAGGGAACTTACAATCACCTGAGAGACACACGGGGATGTCAGTGAGGGTGTGTCCAGAGAGAACAACCTGGGCCGAGTGTGTGCAGCACTATCCCATGATGGACTGGTGTTCCAAGCTGAATCAAAAGGAGAACGCAAATGGGGTACCACCATTCATCTCTCTGTCTAACTGTGGACATAGTGTGAGGAGATGCCTCATGCTCCTGTCACAACAGAAGCAGCATTTGCCACCATGTCTTTCCCACCTGGAAAGGCTTTAACCAGAAACAAACAATCCCTTCTTCCTTAAGTGGCCTTTGTCAGGTACTTGGTCACAACAATGAGAAAGGTTATTAGGATTCACTGACTTGTTTCGCTCTACTAGCTTTTGGAGTCTATACAGAACTCTGTCAGGAAGACAAGTACTCAGAGGTTCACACTAAAGGCCATTCTGTAAAGCCAGAACCAAGTTTATGAGCCACATACAATGCAAAAGCTGCTGTATGAAAGCAGGCTTAATACCATCTGTCTGCTGACACTGACTGCTCAAAACAAATGGAGCCAGACTGTCTGCAAAGGATATTTAAACGAACTGGTGGCTCCATGGGGATAGCGGTTTTAATGAGATGTCACCCATACAGACAGGCTTGAATACGTGCTCCTCAGTTGACGACACTATTTGGGGAGGCATAGGGGTATAGTCTTGCTGGAGGAAGTGTGTCACTGAAGGTGGGCCTTGAGGTTTCAAAAGACTCCACTAACCCTGAGAGCTGAGAGCTATCACCTTTTCCTGTTGTCCTGTTCCCTCCCCACCTGCCATGATGGTGATGGGCTCTTATCTCTCTGGAAATGTAAGTAAACCCTTCTATACGTAGCCCGATTGTCTTAAGTTCAATCACTAGGACCCACGTGGTGGAAGGAGTGGAGGAGCTCCACACATTTACTGTAGCCCCGACCTAGTCACTCACCAAATAAACAAAGAGATGTCTTTAAAATTTTAAACAGATGTTTAAATGATACAACTGAAAGAGCTTCCTGAGGGATGATAGATTGTGCAGAGAGGATACTTAAAGCCAAGGTATGCTTTAAACACATTATAGCCAGGGCAACCCAAAATTGAGCCCTGCTTATTTGAACCTTCTGAATGGATCAAGATCAGAGTGAAGGACTTTGAATTGCCCCTGTGACTTTGAGCTACCCTGTCAGTTAAGGAATAAAGAGAGTAAGATCTTCTGTAGCTCGGATTCTAGAGGCATATGGAGGCCAGAAGTACTACCTGCCTCCCAGGCTCCCGGAGCAATCTTTACTCTGCAGGAGGTGAGACCTTTGCTTTGCAAAACTGCTTGGTGTACCAATAATAATAATAATGATAATAATAATAATAAATAATAATAAATAATAATAATTAAATAAGTAAAAGAAAGCTGCCTTGATCAGCTTGTTGGTCCACAATTCTCCCAAAATGTATAAAATGAAAATGATGGAATAGACAGACTAATTTTGAACCAGATTTCTTATATCACATCATTCTTCATAGTAATTCCATGAAATTCAATTTGGATGTTAGAATGTCAGTTTAAACGGAAACCCATTATTAGCAAGGAATAGCAGGTGCTTTAAAGATACAGTAACTGTTGACGTTTGAGAGAAGGGAAACATAATTACCTAATGCCTTTTTGGGCTTCCTGTACAAATGAATAGCCATCCATGTCAGTTCTCACCTCTATTTCACCCACAACCTGCATACATAACAGCAAAGATCTTGCAGGGAAAGCCATTATGCAGAAGATCAAGGACACACACACTATCACATCAATCAAAGTGTAAGGTGCAGAGAGGTGGGAGAAGCCAGAAGGCTAAACTGCAACTGCAATTACGTCTTTCTTTGTTGGAAATTAATAAACCTTGTAAATCTGCTATTTTACTTTCTTAAATTTGTAGAATGAAGCATCATCTATTTAGATCATGAGGCACCAAAATACATTTTTTTCCGAAAAAAAAAAAACTCTGTGGGGAGAAGTTCTGGTTTCTCTTATTGCAGGGATATCATGCTGTACAAAGATTTCTTCCTAGAAAACTATTGACAACTATCTTTGCCATCTGGCTTTTGTTCATCAAATGCACCATTTCTAAACTGTCCCAGCAAATTGGAGAGGAAAAGGATAAATCACTTCTTGGGTTGAGGTGAGAGAAGAAGATATATGACAGACAGGCTTTGAATTTGGGATCAATAGTCTTCGACCCCTGAGTTTACCAGGAGAAAAGCTGTCTAGCCTCTGGGTCCTCGCTGTGTGGTGACATGAAGAAGAGCCACAGCAGAAGGTCTCTAAAACCCCCTAATGCCATAACAGCTGACACTATTCTATGCTATGCATTCACCTTCCTACCCTAACTCACTGCCCCGGGCCAAGGATCTTTACTGACCAGCAGAAGTGCACTGTGTGTAAGATTAACCTGAAATCCAATGGCCCTGTTCTCTATTTTATCTTCTAAAATAATTGTACTGGTAGTTTCTTACAAAAATAAGTACATAGAAATTAGTACAGAGGAAGAATTTTTCCCTTAAAACTAACACAAGTATAAACTCTATCTTAGGTTCCAGGCAGCTGGAGGGAAGGTCATTCTAATCCTAGTACTTCCATGAAGTAAGAAAATCATTTTTCCCAATGTAAGGCTAGAAGGACAAATCCCAGAAAGATTAAAGAACAGCCACTAGCAGAGGGATCACAGTCCACTTCCAGAGTTCTATTTAATTCTAGAGTGAACCTAGGCTTGAGGACTTTTGAGCCATGCACCATCCACTGCTTGGGTCATGCCTGACATCACTTACTTACTCTGTAGAAATGAACTTCCTCTTCAGAGTGTATAGATATGCACACACATTTTACTCAAACTTCGTGCGAATTCTCAAAGGAGGTCTTGCTTGCCCATGTAACTGGTTTCTTAGACCCCAGTGATCCTTTTACCCTCCAGCAACCCGATTCCAGCCTCACCTCTTTCTTTTTCCTCTCCTCTTCCTTCCGCTTCTTCTCCTCTCTTATCTGCGCTAAGCGCTGCTTTTTGCGCTCCAGCTCAGCTTTTAGGTCGCTCTTGTCAGACATCTTTGCTTCCTTAGAGAAAAGGAGAGAGAGAAAGTGAGAGACTATGTAATCTTACTTGTATTATCATTACAGAATCACTCAAAAGAAAGTGCAGCTTGCAAATGTGACTTTGGAGCAATAATAGGTTGTATTAGTTAGTCTGTGCAGAAGAATCAGAAAAAAGAACCTAGGTTTGCTCTAGCATAGTGTGATTCTTTTTCTATTATGCATCCATAAGTAACTAAAGAAATTCGTTGTCATCTGGGTTGAAAAAGAATATCAACTGACTTCCAGGGAAGCAACACATTTTCTGTCCAAGTTTCTTCACAGATAAACAAAAGGAGAGAGGGTTGAAAAAGAAGCCTCATGATGACTTCGAGTTTAGATGCTAATGGAGCAATTCATCTCCACGATGCACAAAGAAAATAGGCTGTCAGGAACCCTAGAGTGTGCCCTGCTCAGATTTCTATGGACGGGATAAACAGTCCTCCGAGGAGCGTAGGGAAATTTCATTTTGGCTACCGTTACATGCCTCTCGGAAGACAGCTGCTGAAGACCCGACATGCTAATCTTTTTTCCCTCTAAACTCCTCCCAATCTGTCACACTTAATTTCATCTCCCAAATAACACTATTTCTATAAATGTTCATTTGCATACTGAGTGTAATAGTCTTATTTTGGTACTGACCTCACTCAAAGTAAAGGGCATTGATGTACACAAGAAATAGGAGTTGACTCTGTGTTGAATTCTGAGGAAAATTCATCCAAATAAGGTTTAATTTTGTTTATCACTTAAAAAAACCACTTATTTTATGTGTATGATTGTTTTGCCTGCATGCATATATGTGTACCACAGGCATTCATTGAGTCTGCAGAAGTTAAAAGAGGGTATCGGATTCTCTGGATCTAGATTTTCAGGTGATAGCGAACCATGTGGGTACTGGGACTTGAACCTGGGTCCTCTGTGTTAGCAGCAAATACCCTCACTGCTAAGCTATCTCTCCAGCCCCAAGGCTTAACCTTAATGTTTTCATGGCAGTGTTTATGATAATGGGGCCAAAGCATTTTCAAATACAAGAAATTTGGAGAAGACTATTATTAGTTACCAAAGATCATACACTCTTCCGTTCTGGAAACAAGCAAGGAGGAAACCCATAGAAATGAAGGCTGTCCAGCCACTGCATGGTGGAAACCAAATTCAAACTTTCACGTACTATGATCCACTCTATACATCCTAGCCCTGAAGTTTAACCTCAAAGACGTGCCCACCAAAATAAATGAATAATACATAGCAAAGATCTGGGAGAACAGATCACAGTGAGCAGAGTGGAGTTAGTAGAACTTGAACTTGAGGAATCCAGGCAAAGAACTATAAACTTCAGCTCAAGTGTGTATGTGCATAGAGGAGAAGCCTGAGAGGATCAGGAAAAAAAAAGACTTCTATTTGATAGAAGTGGGAGACAACCAATCACAGCAGCTTTCTGAAAGAGAAGTGGACAAACTAAAGAAGGAAGTTGCTCAATCCTATACTTCTCCCTGCCTGTATGACAATAGGAGCAGACACTAGAAATTAGGCAAACTTCCAGGAGATGGCTGCCAGCATTGCACTGATTCCCCTGCACCTGCTGGGAAGGAAGTGGAATTAGGGTCAGCACTGGGATTGTGTCATGTATAGCCAGAGGATGAAGTCCTTCAAGGGGGACTAAGGGATATGGAAGGAAAAAGAGAAATAGTCTACAACAATTTAGCTTCAAGAGAGCAAAGAAGATGGCACAGAGAATGGAAGGAGAAATCCAGAAGGGAAACAAATAACAGAAAAGTTTAATTTGTACACAACTAGCAACCTTTGAGCACACCAACATTTGGCAATTGATGGACAGAAATCATAGCCACACAGTTGATACATCAAAATATCAAAAGAGAGGCCAGGGGCTGAAGCTCTGGAATAAAGCTTGAAGTCCTTCATCTGCAGAAGACTTTAAATCTGAGTCCCAAATCCATAGGCATGGAGATAGTCCGAGGAGGAGAGCAGAGAGGAAGTCCCTGCTCAAGGTAGCCTGTTCACACTAACTCTAGCTGATAGTTGGTGACGTTTAGACCATAGATCTAAACGGCTACATGTTTTGAGCTTTACTCTTTTCTTTCATTGTTTGGAATGTGACAGAATTAACAAAAGTTCATCAGTAAAATACTGGTGGCTAACACTGTTCAGCCCCCAAGATGTGAGACGTTTGGCAGGGGGAATACTGCTGGCGTTATACTGATGGCATTATACTGCTGGCGTTATTTATGAAAGCTGTCTGGGAAGTTACCATGCTCTTAGCCAGTGGAGACTAATCTATTGGAATCGATGCACCTGAAATTTTTCTGTGATCACAGTAAAATACATAAATATGAAAATCACCAAGCAATAGCCATGTTGTCCTGAGCTCAAAGCAGACAGGGGAAACTTCTAGAGCACCCAGTTTTCCCATTTCTCCATCTCTCCCCAACTATTTCCTATGTTCTTCCCAGGCAAAATCACCTGGCACCACTTTAGCTACGGATTATCATCAGCTGGAATAAATCACATTCCAAAAAATCCTATATTGGTTGTGATGTTTTTCTTTATTGATTTTCTTCTTTAACAATTTCTTGTATACATACAATGTATAAACACACACACACACACACTCATATATATATATATATATATATATATATATATATATATATATATATAAAATGCATTCTGATTACTCTCATCCACTGTCTTCTCTTATCTCTCTCCCATCCTATGCCAACAACTCTTTGTCCTTCTAACAAATCTCTCACCTCCAAGCCTTTTTCCTTTGCTTTATGACCCTCTAATTTTAACCAGGGTTTCCTGTGTGACGAAGAGTTTGCCATTATCCACTGGTATCTGATGGGCTCACCAGTACATACACAACTGAAGACATTGGCTGTTCCTCCTTAGAACCCATGAGTAACCAACAGTTCAGTGTAGAGGGATAGAACGTCCCATGAGCTCATTCTCAACCCACAACTGACTATCAACAAGTTCAGTCATATGCAGGCCAACACAGCTGCAAAGCTCAACCATAGGAAGAATGTGCTTGTCTTCTGAGCAAGGTACAAGGTTAAGGAAGCAGCCCAGAGCAGGCAGGCAGACAGGTATGTCTGCCACCACTAATTACTAACGATAGTATTGTAAGCCGTAGAACAAAGACTATTAAGACTATCCAAAAAGCACCAGGGAGACTATAAGAAAAAGTGAATTAAGCAGACAAGTATGAAAGCTCATCTTTTTAAGTGTGGGCGAGCCACACTGTGGAAGGACTCAACTCTAGAGGGCCTAACTCTGTATCGATTTTTGGATCCATTCCAAGCTAGACACTTAGCATCAACCCCCAGGGGAATAAGAAACCTCAATAGAGTGTCTCATAAAAGGTTTGGAAAATGAATGGGCTTTCACACATTGTGTGATGTCTTCCTTACACAGTGGCTTCAATGTAGTGTCAGCACTGACCTCCACAGGATTTCTGAGGAGCCTTGTCAGCCCCACCTTCTGTATCTCCCTGCACATCAAACAGAGCATCTGGGGGTAGGATGAGACACAAAATTTGAGGTAAGTGAGGTAAAGAGCCCCATGGTGATTCTGACACTCTCAGTCCAAAAAAATGTGAGTCGGAGTCACCCATGCTCACTAATGGTCACTTCACACACTTGAAAAGCTTGTCGTTTCCACTTACAGATGGCAAAAGGTCGGGAAGACATATCATACACATCTCCGAGGACGGGCTTTTCCCTGTCTAATCATAGCATATCCTCTCACCCATTATCCAATTCACGGCTCGCCTCCACTGGGCTGAGGGCCAACCGCGGCTGACTTAGACTCAGCTCCATCCATTCTGGGATCAGTTGATTCACCCCACCCCCACGCCTGCTCCGCTCACAGTAGCAGTTTCATTCCCTCACCTCATTTCACCCCTTTTCCTTGTGTCCATGGCCAAACGCACCCTTCCCATAATTCTTCAGCCTCCCACATCTCCTGCACCCCCAGAGCTTCCAATTTCTATATGATGAATCAAAAGCCCGCATCACCTTTTCTGTTTTTTCCTCTACCTAATGACACTGACTCCAAAACAGAGAGTTTAAAGTTCTACCATCTACCCCATGTGGTCTGGATTCCAAACATCAATCACCAACCAGTTCGATGGTTTTCAGATTCCAACTATCTCTGATGCCTGTTTTGTTCCTTGGTCCATTCTTGAGCTCCTGCCTCATGTTAACTATCATGATAGTTTTATATATGTTACACACACACACACACACACACACACACACACACAAACTCAGTTCCATTCACAGGTTTTAGGAATGCAGGTTTGATCACTTTGGCTCCTGTTGTGCATGGTCAAGGCAAACTGCCATGTTTTTTATCTCAATTAATGCCCCAACGTAAGCAAAGTTCTCCTAACAGTGCCTGACAGATATTAAACGCTCACAGGGGTTTGTTTCTCTTCTTCCAACACTCCTTTACCTCCACCCCTGTCCTGGATGGTTTATGTCAACTTGACACAAGCTAAAGTCATTTGAGAGGAGGGAACTTCAATTAAGAAAATGCCTCCACAAGATCGGGCAGTGGCAACGTTGCAGAGGAATTTTAAAAATTAGTTATTGATGGGGGAGAGTGCAGCCCATATGGTGGGTGGTAACACCCCTGGACTGGTGGTCCTGGGTCCTGTAAGAAGGCAGGCTGAGCAAATCATGATGAGCAAGCCAGTGAGCAGCACCCCTCCATGGCCTCTGCATCAGTTCCTACCTTCAGGTTCCTGCCCTGACTTCCCTTGCTGATGAACAGTGCTGTGGGGAAGTGTAAGCCAAATAGACCCTCTCCTCCCCAGTTACTTTGGTCATGGTGTTTGATCACAGCAATAGTCCCTCAAACTAAAACACCCACTTCTTTTTATTTCTATTTTTATCAATTATTAGGAGTATTAATTATCATGAGCATCCCGACTCACACCCCCTGTTGCACTCTACTTCATC